ATCTCAGTAATGCAACAACTTTAGAATCTGTGACTTTCGCCGAAATTCATGAAAATGTTTGCTTTAAAGAACTCCACTATGTTGGAAGAATCTGAGATGATTAATTGAGCAGCATTATACGGTAACAGGTCGTGGCTTATCTTTAATGGCTCTATATAACAAGCCAAATGCGTTATCTATTAAGCGAAACCGATGGCTTAATTATTGTGAATCGTTAAACTTTTAAAATTGTTGAAAATGTCTGAAGCTGGTATTCATAATTAACCAGTTTGAATAAGTTGGATGACTCATAAGAATGAAATGATTGAGTTAGTTTGAAACGATGATTTTTTTCTCAAACAATAAGCTTTGTGCATAGGTGGCTTTTCTCTGATGATACTTGCATTTTTTTGATTGTTTTTTTGCTAGGTAGTAAAAATAAATAAATTCAAGACAAACATACAAAAGAGAACTATATGAAATCCATACATAGAATCCTAGTCAAAACCTATACGGAACCTTTAGTGAAAGCAGGGGAAAAACATCAGCACAAAATCGACTTTCTATACGCTGAACAGAATCGGTCCAAATTTTTTTTCTGAATAGCTTATTGAATGAATGTACGGGCAGTAAAACATCTCTTTATTCAAATCACTTTTCGCATACTGGCGTGAACAGTGGCACGTTTAACATGGTGTCACTGTTCGCGCCAAAGTACTAAAGGTGATTTGAATAAAGAGATGTTTTACTACCCGTACATTCATTCAATAAGCTATTCAGAAAAAAAATTTGGACCGATTCTGTTCAGCGTATAGAAAGTCGATTTTGCGATACTGAGTACCTTGTTCGTACAGAGCATAAAAGAGGTTTAGAAGTGGTTTTAGTTCTTAAAACTCTTTTTATTGCTCATGATTTATGAGTTTATGATTGCTCTCTTTTATATTTTGTAATGCATATCAGTTTAGGAACATTCGCTTTATAAATGATATGGATAGAAAAACTTGAAGCCACTGCTAGACGAAACGGCTTTTCTTTCTCTAAAATAAATTAAACTATATCTTAGAAAAGCTTAGAATAATTTATAGCTGAACATTAACACTGTCCAAATATGTCCTTAAAATTGAACTAATCGTGATTATTCTAATATATTTTTGACAGATACCACTGCTACACAAAGTTTCATTTTTTTCATTTTTCTTATTCAGATTTTGAATTACAAATTTCGAAGTAGCACTATGTACTTGGTTATGGCGTAACTAATTTTTGGTAGAAAGGCGTTTTTAACTACAATGTCTTTATATCAAACAGATATTTAAGAGGCTTTAATTAAGACAAAATCTAGAGTATTCCATGAGCTCGTTGAGCTCTATTAAATGGTATAAGTTTCAAATCTTTCCTCAATAGAAAGTCGTTATGGAGAGGAAACGTCTTGTGGGGTTTTCTTTCCTCGTGTTCAAATTTAATTGAAGTGCAGTCATTTTGATATGTATTTCAGAAACAAATGGTAATAAACGGTTTACTATACTTCGTCTGCACGTCATGTTAATGTCACCTTTGTTGAGCTTAAAAGCGTGTTTAGTAATACGAAAAAAGCTGTGATGTACTATGTCTGATACATAACAGAAGGATTTATGAAAATGGATTACATAATGAACTATTAGACCAACAAGGATCATGTTATAACTTAGGTAAATGGAAGTGTTCTTGAGAAACTATACTGAAACAAACTAGCAATATTCATATTTATCAATCGAGTATCGTGTCGTTTATTCACAAGTCGTTTATATATTCCACATCAATTTTTTTTTTAAGATTTTTGCAGAAATGTGCGTGTTTTGGAGCCATAATTAAAATCGTTTTGCCTAGCGAAAATAAATTTTGAGCGCTTTCCAGTGTTTCGCATTTCCTAACCAAGAGATTTGCGCTAAAATGAAAACAAAATACACCAATCGATAGAGAATTTTACCTTGTGTCCGGCTAGCTAGTTAACAAAATCATAGACATTGTCTTTCCCGTCGAAATAATTAAAAAAGAAAAATGAGTCATGTTTTCCAATACTTTGTTTTGGAAAAATAGACGTGAAAAACCGATGATATACGAACGTCAAATATACCATTCTCTCCGGTTTTGAAGGGTCTATCCAATGGTGTATAATACATTGCGATACGATGGAATTTGAAGGAACTAATCTCACTCATCGACTATTCTCACTAAAATCAGGTGTTTTTAGGTGAAGATCAACTTTGGAAACGAAATTTGTTTTAGAAACTGATGGAGTGTGTAATTCTTTATCGATTGGTATATTTTGTTTTCATTTTAGCGCAAATCTCTTGGTTAAGAAAAGCGACTCACTGGAAAGCGCTCAAAAGCCTATTATCGCTAGGCAAAACTATTTTAATTATGAAAAATCTATATAGACAGACAGAGTCTGCTCCTATATTACAGTCGGCTAACTGTACTATCTATATCATCATTTGAATCAGATCCGTACCACTTAATGTGAAAGAAAAATTCAAAAAACAAATTATTTATAAGCTTGATAGTACTAGGGTTAATAAGATATTCTGACATGTCTGTTTCTGAAACGTTTCTGACTACAGATATGCGGAAGGATCTATCTGAATCTCGGTAACCTTGAAATCTTGAAAAACCTAAAAGGGTCATATTTTACAAAATTTTTTGGTTTTGTCTTTCCGGCATCCCGTCGGAATCTGGATTTTTTTCTACTGTAATGTAGAATGTACACTTAGACTATGTGCGGCAAATAAAACAGCCACAAACACATGAGGAAAATGAACACAACGAACGGAAGAGGAATGATATATTGTGCTATGTGTAAATGGTTTATAGAAGGGAAAGTTCTTCTTTTATCAACTATTCTTATAACCTCTTTAGTGAGAACTTCAAATGAGGTGTTTTGATAATATAAATGTAAGAAAAAAATTTTCGCTGTTGTATGATGACCAGTGATACCCACTATATGTCTCTTAGCAAAGAAACTAGACAAATATATCCTGTAATCTAGACATACAGAGGGTAAAAGCTTTTCAAAAAATTCTGAAATTATGCTGTAGAATCCTAAAGCGTAAAGGGCTTATAGTTCGAGAAAGCTTAAGAAAAAACGACTGCACCTTATACTCCACAGTTCTGCTGGATTTTACGACTTAGAGCCCATAACGTAAACTTTTTTTTGTGTCGAGTCCCACAATCACAGAATAGAATTTTGGACAGAATTCTTTGAGTTCTCTTAACATTTGGAGCCAATAATCGAGGGTATTAGTAAAAACTATATGCAAAACAGTTTGACCAGTTGCAGCGCCCGATTTAGTGGCCGTTGCAGCTAGTTTTCGATAAAACTGCTCCAAAGGCCGCTAAATTGAGCGCTGCAGCTAGTTGGGCTGCGGGTACTGAACACATTATACGAAACAGTTTGATTAGCTGTAACGCCCAATAAATCTCCAGCTGCAGCTAGTTGTACACTGTTTTATAGTGGTAATATTTCTTACCCGCTGCAGCTTTGCAGTGTGTGCTTTTATAAATGGCCAGTTTTTTCGCCTGCTATGTAATGACGTTATAATGCACTTCAAATCAAAAATATGCGTCACAAATTTATTGGATGAAATCCTCAAGTTTGCGCACAAAAGATTAAAGATTTTGTTCGAAAACATAAATATCTCGGACAGACAGCAGTTATTACAGAAAATCGCAGATGACGCTGCTTTACACCTTTACTTTTGGTACGCACTGTATTCTCAATAGAAATCGCTGTTACCTTTATATAACGTCTTATGTTGTAGATCTCACCTAAGTCTGTCAAAACAGATGATGGATCCCATTCTACATAAAAAATGGAGGAGAACGTGATGTCCGTGAATTAATAAAAATACTGAAAAAGATGCATAAAATGAAGTGCAAATCATTTGAATACGCTCATTTACACTTAATTGCTGAAATCAGTTAATTAGTAATTAAATCAGAGTGCAAGTAATTTCATTATCAAACTTCGTTCTAATATAAATAGATACTTTACACCAGTTTAAAATAAGCGCGCTGGTTCAATTAGGTAAGATTTCGATCCTAGGCTAGGATCGAAACTCCAAAAAAACAGAGACACTTCGGAAGATCCCGCAATAAAATACCTCGCGAGTTCCTGCAAGGTTAGAGATAGCCGAAAAATTACTTTTTGTTTTTATAACCAAAAGGTGACGGGATCCCGCGAGAAAAAAGACGGTGGGATCCTGGAGGGAAAAACCTGGCGGGAGTTCAAAGAATTCCCGGTAGATTTTACCTTGCGAGATTTCGCGAGGAAAAACCTGCCGCGAATTATCTGAACTCCCGCCAGATTGTTCCCTTCGGGATCCCGCACGTCTAACGGGGCACAATCCCGCGGGATCCCGCCGAATTCTGAAAATTTTTTTTCAGTGGATGTTAAAGATTATTTTTAGCTTTCAAGTGTCCAAACTGCAAAATTGTAATAAATGCAAATTGCGAATTTGGAAGGTTTTCCTACGCAGTGTCGATTAAGAAAGTATTAGTGAGTCTACGGATAATGTACATAACGTTATCAAAACATCTATTGCTCCATTCGATTGCTCTCCTCGAAAGACTTGGGATAAAATATGGAAAAAGACTCACTCATGCTATTTTTGGTCTAGTAGCCTGTGCATTTGGCCGTCGACAATAGTGAATAAGACACAAATAGTTTATTTTCTTTTAAAAATGTTCGAAAAAACATGTGATACTTGGTTTAGACTTTATTATAGTGGAAACAGTAATCAAGTCGGGCTGTACCCATTGCATGACACTGGGAGGGAGAAAGAGACAAGAAAAAGATAAAAAGTGTGATACTTTCAGCTAACTATGTGGAAGCGACGATAATCAAGGACTACAGTTTCTTAAAACATAATGCAGAGTCTAGAATATGACGCTCAAATGTTCATAGTGCAACGTTTAACAATACCTTCTAGAAGGAACTACAAAGCTAAATAGACAAATTCCTTCGTTGTGGTATTAATGACAGTTTACGGATTAGCAAGAGCAGTGACGTCAACCTGTGCCAGTTCTCGATTGTGAATATAGATTTCATCGATCGATCCCTGATAGGCAGTGTTTGAAATGTAATTATTAGAGAAATAAGGGGACCACAGAGTGTAACAATTGTAATAATTGCTACAAGATGGACCGTATCCAATGTATAACCATGCTAATTGGCCACTAGATGAAGCTGACGAAGCACCAGTTGCGCCGAAAAGAATTCCATTGACGTACAATGTGTATCCGTTCGCCGGACTGAATGTCCATGAAATGTGTGTCCATGTATTCAACGTTAAAAATGGACCATTAATGAACGCACCATAGACTTGTGCAATTAGTTGACCCGTAGATCCAGTAACCGACGAAATACCAAGCATATTTACACATGAAGTAGAGCTCGTTTGCAGTTGGACAAATGTACAACTGCCAATCGATGATGGATTTATCCACATGGAAACGGAAAACTTGCCACTGGAAGCACCATAAGTAATTTGATAAAAACCGTATGCTTGAAAATAGGACGATGAACCCGTGAAACGCATTGCCTGATTGACTCGTCCAGTGACCATTACTGTATTTACAGAGGTTCCATTTAATCCATTTGGACCGTTGTCATTGTTCGGATAGGGCAGATCAAATGAATAATAGGCTGCCACTGATGCATCGGTGAGAATTTCGTCCGAAGATTTTGCTCGCGTTACTACTTTTAGATTATCAATATAACCGTTGAAATAGTTTATTGTCAGAAAAACTTGAGTAGAACCAATTTGAATGCTTCCATTTGTTCCCTGATAAGGTCCTGAATTCGACTTGATAGTGTCTTGTACTCCATTCAAATACAATATTTGTTGTTGTGTTTGATAATTATAAACAAAGGCAATGTGATACCAAGTGTTAGTTGACAGAGTCAGTGAACCGGCCAAGTCGTTCAGTGTGAAACCGATGTATAGACGACTTGCTCGAACAATGAAATACAAACATTGATTTGCACATGTCGAGCATTGACATTGGCCGAAAACACCATGATCACCCGTATAACTTGTTGTTGAATAAATCCAAGCTTCAATGGTGAAACTCGTGTAGTTTAGATCGAGAAATGGTGTGGAGACGAGAAATGATTGATTTAACGCCGATAGCACATAGAGTGCTCGGCCGTATCCCACATACGGTGCATATAGAGAACTATTCGAGATCGGAGTATATGTCGCACCATTTACCAGTTGACCATTGTAAACACCGTACAAGTCTGCTGTTGTACTGTCAAATGACCACAATGCAGAAACAATTATCGAAAACGTAGTGGTTGTTGTTGTTGTTATTGCTAAAAGAAGTCAGACTACGTCGATCGTCCAGGTCAAATATACCGAAGGACATCTACCATAGTCGCATCAACTGTCCCCTGGTGCCAAAAATCGCTGGTCGATCACTTATGTAACTCAGTAGAACAGATCTTTAACATATTATGTTGAGTAAAAAATGCGGGATTGTAATCGAGCACGGTTAGTTTGACACGTGGAGCTGATTTCTGATTGATCTGAGATGCATTCGCTTTTTCTCTCACTTATAGCATGCTGCAACAAATTTTCATTGATTTGCTCTCCCAAGAAAATAAAGAAATCGGAATTTATGTGCAAAACTCCTATGTGGGACGGTTCTTTACCAATATTAACTTATTTCAACTGACAAAAGGACTGCGGAAATATTAATTTTTCGAATTAATTTGAAAATATGAGAACCGTGTGTTTTGTTCGTTCTGTTCGAGTTTTTGATGTAGTTCGGAGACTGACAAGTTTTCTGTGGTGGGAGCTGCAAGAAAGAAACCTTTCCGCAAGCTTTCTTTAGAAGGAGTCGATCGTATCTCGCTCAAAATCTCTTTTAAACATAATTGTACTAGCAAGATCATCCTGTACCAATATAAGCTGTGATATTTTGAGCATTGAAAACCAGTACCATCAAGGATTTTTCCATGATTTTACATTATTTCCAACCGTACGAAACTTTTTCGTAGGTGTGCTCTACAAATCGACTTCGATATTCATTCTTTTTTCATGGAACCAGCAGACACAAATATCTTTGTAAAAATATTGGCAGAGTAAGTTTAATATATGCCGTTTTTGATAGGAGCAGAGCTATTTTAAGATTTTTGTATTCGCAACAGAGCACCCAAATCTGCTCTGATATGTGTGATCTGCTTATTGTCATCCACCTACTCAGAATACGATCGTCTCATAATAAGAAATGGTCAAAGTGTGAGCGGACGACGCACTTTATCGAGAACTTTAGCTGTTAATGGATATGCGCCAATGTTTGCAATTTTTTATGGTTGGTTTCAGAAATCATGCTGATCGATTAGAGTTCTCTGTAGAATTAGAAAATTCAGCTTTTATGTTTTTGTAAAGAGCAACTTCGACAAAATTTGGCAAGCTTTCAATTAATCAACATACGAAGTTCGGATAAAATCACGCAACCCCTTTTTGAGATAAATCAAAGATTATTTATGTCAGATGTTTACCTTTTGATCGTGTGAGCACTACACCCAGAACAATTGGCACGATAATAAGAGCACCGACTAATACACCCACTAAGATCTTTTTCCCTGTCGACCACCTGTAATCCATAGACAAAGACAGACAGTTTAGCAGACACAGAACAAGAATAACATGTTACCTCGCTTTGCTTAGTATTTCACGCAGATTAAATGTCGTTGTCCGTTCCTGTATCCTCATTGTTTGTTTAGCTATTGCAGCGGAAGGTGGACGTGATGGAGAAATGGAGATCTAACAAAGACACACAGTTGATAAGCTGTTCAAAAGTTTGACATAAACGTATTCTCTGTTCAACTCACGTCTGAATAACGCTGATTGTTATTATCTGCTGCGTTCATGTCATGTCGATGAACATTGTTGGGTGTTCCGGGTGTGGGAATATATTTTTTATCGTGAAGTTCAGTCCTCATAGGCGCACTGCGGCTGATTCGTCTGTTCAAGAACTAGAATGATGTCGATAAAGAATAGCTAATAGTCACTATCGGTGAATACATCCATAATATTCTGTTGAAACTGCTATCAACTTCGCATTACGACTCCATCTCACTAAGGAATGAAATATTTCACCTGATTTCCGCTTTTTCTTTTATCGCTTCAGTTTTTTAGGTTAGAGTGTCTGCTTTCAGAATATATTCCCATCTTAGTGCTCACTCAACGTCTTCACCTTAATACAATCAATATTCTAAAAACTTCTCCATCTTGACCGGAATAAACTTCATTCATTGAGATGTCAATTTCGTGTCTGCGCTATACCATCATTAACAAGCAAGTGCAAACTCATAATCAGCAAAGCGGAGACAGTGTGAGGCGCCAGATCTGACTATTGGAAGAAACAACATGATACCATCTCTTCATCAATATTGGTCGACCAGTCTTGTTTCTCGTAGAGCGTAGAAAGGTAATCAATCGTCGTATCTAATTAGGCTTTTTGCTTTTCATCTGGCATAAATTACAAGGAGAACACTGCATAAGAAGTAAGTCGTTCTTTCCGATACGCATGAGTAAAAAATGTTTACTATCATCTCCACCGGCTTCTGCTCATCCCAATAAGCAGTCTATACAGATCGATACATCGCAAGGAGTGGTCCGATACAATTTTCAGCTAACAACATTGCTCAAAATAAATTTTCATACATAATCATCAGTCTAATCAATGAATGGGTCACAGACGACGGAGCACAGTCAGACAAAGATCAACCTTTATTCACATAAGACGACTTGATCATCGTACTGATTACAAAATGATAAATTACTCTAGGTTCTCCATAAACAGACAGATCTGGCAATTCGTTAACATTCAACTCTGTCGAAGCTCTGCCGATCCAGTTTCATAATCAAGCTTTAATTCAACTTTTTGCCTACCTGTTGTGGAGTTGACTGGTTGTTTGCTTGTTGTTGAACTATGGGCGATGATCGATTTGGTTCCGGAGAGATGGATCCACGTCGAATCATACGGATTCGAACTGACTCTGCTGCTTTCTTCATTGATTCTCTCCTTCTAACTTAGTCGTCATGATCAGATTTGAAATTTAATTTCTTCTTTTTTTTCTCTTGATCACCTATATTATTGTTTCTTTCTGTTAGTGATGGATTGTGTTTGCGTATTTCATTTAAAATTGACAAAGCCAATATAATTCCGACACACAATGATAGACAAATAATTATGTTTATACAATTTTGAGAACGTGATAAGTATCACACAAAGGGGAATTAACTTCTTTTTGGGTATATGATGACTTTTTCTCCACCAGCCGCACGCTTCCCGATGTTATGCTGTTGCTGTGTGGCTTTATCCACAAGAATATCGCCTTCGGCAGATGAATGTATGTTGCTTGTAACACTGAGGTAAAAAAATTACTGAGGATTGTGCTCAATCCGCTGTCTTTTGACAGTTTTGGCACACCGTATCCCAAAAGGAAGATTCGTACTCTTCCCAGTTCTTTTAAGATCAATACACGGCAGATTATTACAAAATAGTTTATTTCTCCTTTGGTTCTCTCTCTCTGAATAGCAATCAGACATATTTAACAGTATCGTCTTCATATCCGAGATTTCACACAGCTCACTTGCATAGGTGAATGCAAGTGGATTGACGGCGAGGAACAACACCGATGTTATTGTACACTTTCTTTTCAATTATTCGATTCTCTTAGCTACTTGAGTCCGATCAATTTTTTTTCAACATTGACTACAATAATATTCTGCAGCAGTATATGTTCTGATTGGAATTGGATACATATTCTTCTCTTCTCGCCTGATTGTTTTTCTTTCATCAAAAAGTGCGTGGCCTTGAATGACTTCTGTCTTCAAAATTGCCATCAGACACGTCAGACTGGTTTAATGCAATATGAGTTTTCATTCCCACAAAAAACTCTGAACAAACAAATATGTGCACAATGGGATGAAGCACGCAAACATCTGTTCGTCATCAATCAGTTTCTTATTACACGTGTTTAGTAGGAACGTCTCGTTAGTTTAACATTCGATTTGTATCTTATTCTGATCTTTCATAGAAAACTTTTCTAAGTTTGAGTTGATTGTGCGACAAGTATCTATCTAATGACGATGTAGACAAGCCCAAAGCTCCGTCCATAGTGCTGCGGCTAGTTGGACTTCCTCAGTATCAACACTTATAATGTGACGAGGTGCCAGGGGGCAAACAGCGGACTTTTTAGATGAGGCCGAGGGTAACCA